TCAACACCTTTATGAATCGTATATTAAAAGTAAGTACTTTACCGAATGTTTGTGTATTTTACTGTAAAAAAGTAACACAAAAAAAAATAAAAACGATTACTCTAAAATGTGTATTAGCTTAAATTGTTTAACCTTTAAAAATAGTAGGTATAATTATACTTATAAAGAGAAAAAACGTTAAAAATATCACCATATACAAATTGTGGATCTAATCTTATGAACCATATCCAAAAAATAAATAAATTATATTTTTTCACTTTCAGTTAAAAGTTAGAACCGGATCCAATCATTTATATAATAGATCACCTTAAGTAAGTGATAGGCTATTAGTACAATATCCCCCTTGTATCTGCCCTGAAAGCAAGGCCTTGTATCTTATCATTCATATTATTATTTAACTTGCATATTGAGTTTTACTTATACATATGAGTTCTAACAACTAACAAATTTTCAACTTAAAGGTCCTACAATCAAAGCTAAAAATTTAAAAAATTTTAAAAATCGCACCACTCTAGAGGGATGGGTAAATTTTTAATTTGAGACTACTGACGTGTGGAGGGCATGTCAAATAAATAATCTTTATACATTTCAACTCGATTCAACTCTTTTTTTTTAAACTTAAAATTACGATAAGCTATAACTTTTTAGCTTCGATGCAAAGCGAGAAGGTATTGGTTTTACTCTGATGTGGGCTTTTTTTTTCGCTGTATACACTGTAACTTTTTTAATACTAGACCAATTCCTTCGAATAGCAACTCTATAAATCACAAATTTTGTCTAGTTTGTACTTTGAGGGGAGTTAAAGTTGAAAAAGTTTAAGTCTTCACAGACGAAAGTTGAAAAAACAAAAAAAAAAACCGTACGAGTTTTTAAGTTAGAACTTTTACTGGCTATAGTATCGAGAAAAAGAGTCGGATCGAGTTGAAATGTATAAGAAATATTTATTTGGTATGCCCGCGCTCGTCAGTTTTGTCAAATTCAAAATATATCCATTTCCCGCCCCCCTAGGGGGGGTACAAGTTTTTTTGTTTTTCGGGGTTTTTAGCCGTAATTTTAAAACTTTTGGGTTGAAAATTTGCCAGTAGTTGGAACTCATATGTTTCCATAACATATTAAGCGGGTGAAAAATTCGGCACTACTGTTTTTTTTTTAATTGCCGGAAAACCGTGTTTTCGCACATTGCGTATACTTTAACAAAAACACCTAAAATATTTAAAAAAAATTGATCAAATCATTAAAACAATTTTATTTATATCTATGCAGATTGATACTATTAGGTTTTGTGCTCAAGTACCACTTTTGACTTGAAGTTTACACAAATTCAACTTTCTTTTTTTTTTTTTACTTAAGTTCTTTCCGGATGATTAAAATTGAGAACTGATATTAAATTCGTAATCACCGACCCAAAAAACATATAATTTGACCACTTTTGATGTCTTTTACACAAAAATCCAGAAAAATGTTTTAGCTTCGATGCAAAGCGAGAAGGTATTGGTTTTACTCTGATGTGGGCTTTTTTTTTCGCTGTATACACTGTAACTTTTTTAATACTAGACCAATTCCTTCGAATAGCAACTCTATAAATCACAAATTTTGTCTAGTTTGTACTTTGGGGGGGTAAAAGTTGAAAAAGTTTAAGTCTTCATAGACGAAAGTTGAAAAAAACAAAAAAAAAACCGTTTTTTTTAAACTAAAAACCCAGTGTACCAGATGTGAGAAACTAAATCGTGTGACTGATTATAGTAGACACTCGATTTTTTGGGAAAAAAACCTGTCCGTGTACTTGTTAAGACACTTAATGATTCTGATACGACAAAACCACTGTCGTTATCTCGTTATTTTATAGCCTGCGTTATATAACCTTACCGAAGGTTAACTATGAGTATTTAATGTCCAACTACCTGCAAATAATGAAGAGGACTGTTGTTTTTTGGATTTAGATTAAGTGTTGGTTTTTATGCAGTATACCGCCTCAAAATGTTTTTTTTATTACAAAATTTTTTTAAAGGAAAGCTAATGTTTTGTATATTGTTATACTGTTATTCATTTAAAGAGATTCACGCTTGATTGTTTAAATTGTCTAATATTAGATAATCTGCTTCGTGCTAACTTTATTTTTTTAGTTTATCAACTTGTAGCTCTAATTTTGTAAAAAAATTTCATTATTTTATTACTATGTACTATTACTATTAAGATAAATTTTAATAATAATTAAGTCATAAATGATAATACTTTATTTTATGACTAGATCAAATCTCGTGAACATTTAACATCATGATACTGCTCCTATGCTATTATTAAAAAAACACAATTTTTAAAATCTCCATAAAAGGTTATTGTTAAATAACAGGCAACAGCCGACTGCTAGTGGCTATACACGTTAGTAATATTCAACTAATAAGTAATAAATGTAGGTAAAATTTATTGTTTTCTCTATCACAGTACCAGTATACGATTTATTTTAATTTAAATGTAAGAAAATCGATTTTTCTTTAGAAAATAACAAGAAATTAATATACAGGATGAGGCAGTAAAACGGCGATTTTCTAATGTATTTAAATGGTAAAACCCGTTTCACTAACCCACCCTTTACATTTTAAGGATCTATGAAAAGGTTTTTTTAGTTGCATTTTATTTTGTACATTGTTAATCTAGTAAAATAGAAGTATAATATAGCTTTGAAATAATATAATCTGTGAAGTATAAATAGTTTGTGTGAGATTGCTATAATGGAAGTATATAATACATAAATATTAATTTTATTGAGAATAAGCGATTATAATTTAAACTATGGAGTACAAACGATTGAAACATGAATCGTCGACTATTCCAACAAAATATAACAAGACATTGTATTTGTGTTATTTGGTCCACTAAGTTTTTGCAAAAAAAAAAAAAACCAGTACAGTGGGGTCGGTGCATAGTGGGGACGGCGCATAGTTGGGTCGGGGCATAGTGGTGACGGGGAGGTCACAGGTTTACAGGAATTTTTAAATCTGAAAGTGATAAAATCACTTTCGAAAAAACGCTTCGATGCAAATCGGTAGTTAGTATTTTCAAGCCAGTACAGTCCAAACCAAGCACAGTATAAACCAGCAAAGTTAGAAAGTTTTAAATGAAGGTTCTGTATTTACAAATGGGCATCAAAGCGTTTATTTGAAAGCGATTTTATTCAATTTTATCACTTTTATTTATAATAATTCTTGTAGACCTGTGACCTCTCCGTTTCCTCATTGCTTTGATTACATTATGCCAATACTTTACTGTACTAGTCCTCTCGGATAAAATCACTTTCAAATTAACGCTTTGATGCTCATTTGTAAATACAGAACCTTCATTTAAAACTTTCTAACTTTGCTGGTTTATACTGTGCTTGGTTTGGACTGTACTGGCTTGAAAATACTAACTACCGATTTGCATCGAAGCGTTTTTTCGAAAGTGATTTTATCACTTTCAGATTTAAAAATTCCTGTAAACCTGTGACCTCCCCGTCACCACTATGCCCCGACCCAACTATGCGCCGTCCCCACTATGCACCGACCCCACTGTACTGGTTTTTTTTAATAATAGTTTAATTAGTTGGGCTATAGAAAAAGGTTTTAAAAATAAGACTGAAGGTACATTCAGAGTGGGACTTAACACTGCGCTTATTATGGAAAATCTAGAACTGTTGTAATTTTTTTTCATAGCATTATTGCACGCTGTATACAAAATTTTAAAAAATAGTAACACGGCAATATCAATAAATTTATTTATTTCGGCCATTGACTAGTCTTTAATAATCATTCATAGCCCTTTAAAATACTGATTGAATCGTATATTTTTTCGTCGAACGATATCAAACTAAAATAAATTACATTTTAGACATTAACTAGTCTTTGTTAATCATTCCTAGTCCTTAGAATAATGATTTAATTGTATGTTTTGAATCTAACGGTAACAGAGTAAACTATACATTTTACACCATTAGTACTTGAAAAACTTAACATGATTCATAATATGTTATTCATTTGATGGGACACTTAAATAAATAAGTTGCTTAAAAAAAGGTATAGTTTAGCTATATTAAACTAGGTTATAGAACCAAAAACAATAATTTTTGTGGTTTTTTTACACTTTTTTATTTGCAACATTAATACACAAAATACACTTTTTTGGCCAAATATTTTCGCAAACAATGAACACATACCGCATACACAACAATAATACATTAACAATGAACAATGTACACTCCCTCCACTTAACAAATGAGACAAACAATTTTGTGTAGCACGTATCTCTGTATATAATGTAAGAAAATGTACTGTTTCTCTAGTATTATATTGGACATCTCTGGAGTTTGACTTTAGCTTAAAATCCAAAAGTTCATATTTAATTTTGCATTTCAAAATTCATACATTTTAAGATACTATTAGAGTATAATTTCTAAGAAAATATGAATTTTAAAAAGATTATTATGATTGTAATATCCATATTTTTCATTATAATGTCAACGTATACAGGTACATAAAAAAATAATAACCATACAAATGTAAAATAAAAAGTTATACAAATCTATTTTTCATGTTTTAGGTGTTGATGGAGGTAAGTTTAAAATTAAATTGCTCTATTTTTATTTATTAATCTGATATCAATTTTTTTTTTTGTTTTTCGATAAAGTGTAATAGTAGTTTCAAATGACTTAACCTACCTTTAAAACAATATTTAAGTAGGCAATTTCTAACATAAATTACCTAAATAGGAAGCTGAAAATGACAAATTTAGGAATGTTTGTTAGGTACTGTTAATAAATAAATTAATACAACACTTTTTTTTGTGTTTCCGCTGATAAAAATGACTGTAGTCATAAATAAAATTATATGTTTTTTAGCAATGTTATTTTTAAAATATTACTTGTGGCTAAGATAAAAATAAAAGCTTTTGGATCAAACTTAAAATATGAAATTTATACATGATGCATCAGGATAGAAAAATATATTTCATTTTATTTTCGATATTTCAGAAGCTCCGAGAGTTCCTCCAATACCTAGTAAGTCTTTGATACTTTGCTATAATTTATATATGTTTAATAAGTGAAAATAAATATAGATTTTTATTTTTCGCTTTTCAAATGACTGTAAGCTGAAAGTTAATATGAGGTTTTGTGCTTTACCAATATACTAGAAGTTTTAAAATGATTCCCAATAGAGCTTAAAATGTGTATAAAATGCTACAAATGCATTACATTGTTGAAAATAAAAATAAGTTTTCCATGTTGATCAGCAGAATATATAAATCTGCTTATCTAGATATAATGTTAATTTAAAAATATTACTGGTGGCTAAAATAAAATTATTAATTTTTGGATCTAAATTAAAATATGTAATTTATCATTCAATATTTCAGCTGCACCAAAACCTCCTCCTAGTAAGTCTTTGATACTTTGCTATAATTTATATATGGTCAATAATAATATTAAATATAGATTTTTATTTTTCGTTTTACAAATGACTGTAAGCTGAAAGTTAATACGAGCTTTTGTGCTTACTAATATACTAAAAGTTTTAAAATGATTTCCAATAAAACTTAAAATGTGTATAAAATGCTACAAATGCCTTACATTGTTGAAAATAAAAATAAGTTTTCCATGTTAGTGAGCATAATATATAAATCTGTTTATCTAGAAATAATGTTATTTTAAAAATATTACTTGTGGCTAAAATAAAATTATCGCTTTTGGAACAAAATTAAAATATGTCATTTATCATTCAATATTTTAGGTCACCCGATATTTCATAGGAAGTCTTTGATACTTAATATAACAATAAATTAGACAAAATAAGTATTTCGGTTCTTATTCAAATTTACAGGAGAGGCAGGCGAAAGATTTACTGAAGCCCGCTAACGACAACTGTTTTTACCAAATAAGCTGCAATATCCAAGATCCCTGTCACATTCGGAAAAAAAAATTGCTTACTAATTTGTATAAATTTAAAAATGTATTTCTTTGTTAATCATTATTGTCTTTGAACCATTATAATATTCAAATAACAATGTATTCCAAATATCATATTTTGTTAACTACCAATTATATTATATGTCCATTACAAAACTATCTAACAGTAAAAATAGTATTCAGCGGATAAAAAAATGTATTATTTAATTATCTAATCAAATCCAGCTATTTGTTTTTGCTTCTGATTCCTTCTCTTACTATCAATACTTGATTATAAAATGTCTATGGAAATGCGGTAAGCCGTGTCAATAGTTTAAATTTATGTGTTATGACAAATATAAACATATAATTGATTTTGATTAGATACTATATCTTTACTCCATAGAAAATGTTGTTTTAGGCATTCAAAGCATAGACATCTAATGTGTGTGTGAGTGGTTTTCCCAAATGTCTCAAACATGTTTTATTACAATTTACTTAATTAAAAACAAATACCATAATATAGTGTTGGAGTTGGCTGTGAAATTCCTTCTAATATTTATTTTATTTTAAATTGATATACAATACTACATCGAAATTCTAATTTGGTAGTTATCGTGGATACAGATACAAAACAAATAAATAAAAAAAAGTAGATCATTGTAAAATGAACACCTATCTTTTACGTTCTGCATCAAAGCTAAAAACCTAATAATAATATGTTTTTATGATTCATAACATAATATTTACAAAAAATACCAAATGATAAACATTTTTAATTTGTTTATAAACTAAACACATTTTTCTCGAGTTGATCTTTTATGTTGAAAAAAATATTACTCTTATAAAACCGTAATAAACATAGTTTCGAAGCATAACATAAATAATACAACCATACCGAATACGTTTTAAAAAACCACTTGTTTTCGGTAAATAATATTCGTACACCATGTTAGGTATGTTTTTTTATTTGAAGATTTTGAGTGTTCGCACTTCATAGCAACATATAATAATTCCATTTTCTTTTAAACGTTAAACTAAGGGGATTGATTTTCAATTTTCATTTTAAAAATGCAGTTTCTTTTAATTAAATAAATACAATTTAACAAGTCGTTATTATTAAAAACAATGTTTTTACGTAAAAAATTAAAAATCCGTTTCTGACATATTCTAGTAGCCAAAGAACTCATATCTCTTCGCGGAATTAAAATCGGACCACCCTAAGTAGTCGAAATTTTTTTGGACTTTTTGGTATAAATTGTCAAAAAACAAACCTCATTCAATTCCCATAACTGGATACCTAATGACTTAAACATTTGATGAGGTTATTCTTTAGACTTGGCAATGCGGGTCTAAACCTATAGACTACACATGTTGTGTCACAAAAAAATAAGTACAAAAAATATAAAAATCTTTAATTAAACATTTTTCACTAAACTAAATTTTTCTCTCACTAAATTGGTAATAATTCATGAATGCACAATTAACTATTACAACTACAGTTACGTCGTTTTTCTACCTATATCTATATAAAAGTTATTTTAATGTAAACTGGGTTTCGACCAAAAGTAAAACTATAAACGTTTTTTGTAAAATATAACACTGTTTAATGTGTTAGATTTTAAAGATTTTTCATTAGTTTACATTGCTTCAGTAAATAGAATTGACAACAAGTTGATCACGTTTAAGTAATTTTGTATCATTTGGCTGGCTACACTATGGTCTTGATTACAATAAACCAGTTTTAGAACCTTATTTGTTGTTTGTGTTGTTGATAAAAGCGCTGATATTAGATGCTATATATTAATCTGTGTGTACGTTTAAATGTTACAGCAATAATCGTATATGTATCAATAAACCCGATTTAGATTATTAGCTGATAATCATTTAATCACTTGGGACCTTTTTTAATTATTTGGAAATTTTTATTTAATGTAATTTTTAAAAAATGATGTAATTTCATATTTAAATATTATTAGTCCCTTGACTTAAAGAACTAAACGTAATTAAAAATTGGTTTTTGTTTCAAAATTATTATTTTAGTGTGTTCAATGATTTGTATTTTAATCGACAGTCTTATAATAACAAAACTAAATATTTTTAAATTATTTTCATAAATTATTTTAAAGTACTATTATATTTTATAGTTTTGTCGATCTGCTAAATTATCTCAACAGTTTTGTTTTATATCGTTGTTAAGTATTTCAATACACAACGATTTCACAAATCGGGCTTTAAGTTTTGAAATTCTTGTATTAATGTTTACATTTTATAGTATAACCGTATCGAATACGTACTTTTTTTTTTATAATACATAAGGTGTTTAAAAAATTGATTATGAACTTGTTATTATAATAAGGTCACAGCAGATGTTCTTTAAATATTTATTTTCAGACTTAAGGCATGACGTACTACTAACATATACTTAAAACACGTGTAAACAAATTTATGTAATCAACATTTTTTTTTATAAAAAATTACCAATAATTGTCAACAATGTTTTCACGATTTTCAGCAATCCTCAGCATATTATTAAAAATACTTTTTATTAATAGTTAATAAGATTGTATGCACACAATAATACTCGCACCCGACTATAACATATTACACGCAAACAATGTAAAATAGAACAAAACACATATATGCTGAGTTGACAAATCAGAGAGACAGAAAGTGACGTACACAAGTGTTACCCTAGCTCACCAACAAACACTGCACGAAAGCGTCCAGTTCTTATTTTTAATACCGATTGTAACAAGACCATCGTAGTCAGTCGTCGGTCGAGCGTTACCCCTCTATGGCCACTTGGTCAGTGGGATCGCGTTCGGTCCGACTAACATTTCTTTTGTTCAGTCTTTAGCCATACTTCACTTGCGACTCAGTTTCTGGGGCAAGCACTTATGATTACTGATTATTTTCTCGCTAAACTCAACTCAGTGTCCATGTTTCATGTCATCAACTCAAACGAAATTGTTATTAATGATTTTTTTTTCTATAAATTAATCTTTCTTATTTTCTATTTCAAACAGTCTAGTAAGAGCTATCTAGATACACCACCTTGGGAAGCTACGACTACGCTGAGCGTGCTCAATGCTGTTGGATTACTTGCGATAGCTGAGTTATTATAGTGTCCATAAGGAAAGCAGGATTCCTAGTATATAAAAAGTTGAGTAATAAATTAACTTAATCTACGAGGGATTGCTACTCCAAGATCGTCGCTGGACCAGAAACAAGGTACGTGGAAAACAACTTATAATTATGTATATTAGAGTAATAGTATAATTAAAATAAATTAGAGTAGCTTAGGACACATCCATCAGCCGTTATAATCCCCTTTTTCCTACGCTATTAAAAATTATATTCTTACAATAAAATAAAATAAAATTAGATCAAATATAGGTTTAGCGACTTTTGAGTTTTGGGTTTAACCATATTCTTTGAGCTGCACTTCGTCCATTACTCTATTGTGATTAAAAATTGAAAAACACAACTTCTCCTTCATACACATATCTTAACAATTTTTAGCAAAATATTTATTTAATAATAAATAAGTTGCCTTGACAATATATAACAATCTTACCAATTACTGATTTAAGTGTAGTAATACATTTTAAAAACGACTTAAAATCAATGAAAAACGCTTTGAATAATCCAATTTTATAGATAAAAAGATCTTAACTCTACAAGATATTATTTTATTTGCATCTGCGCTGTTTTAACAGACAACCGTTGCAATGCTATTTTGGAAAATTATTAAAAAAATACTAAATCCCATAAGTTGCAAAGTTGATTTCTTGTACGATAACTTTTGTAATATATTATAGATTCCATTATCATTTAAGACATGTATATTATTATTATTGTATAAAAATTATGATTTGAGATATGTGTATTTTTGATATTAGATCCCACTTTCATAGTGTCGATATTTGAACCGCTGAAAAAAAAATGTAAAATATGGATATGAGTTTAATTTTCGGATGTTCTTGGTAAAACTTATAATAAACGACCTTATAGATAAATTGGCAGAACTTTACGATTATTATTATGTGTTAAGGGGTAAGAAAACATTTAAACATGTTTTACTAGGCGAGTTTATGAAAAATAAATCTTAAAACCTCTCAAAAGCCTGTAAAGGTGGATTAGAGTAGAATAGGTATATTTCAAAGGGTTTGAAGGGTCTATAGAACATACCTTTAGCCAATCGTTGTTAAAGTGTTTTGGAAAACATTAAGAAAAAGAAATAATAGATTGCATACCTTGTTAAATTATTGAATAATTTATGAATAAATTATGTCAACGTTTAGGCACTGAAAAAAATTACAAAGAAATGTTAGAAGATCCACTTTTAAAAGTGATAATAATGTTAAAAGTGGATATGAGTGGTTGTCCCTGGAAAAAGCAAACGTAACTTCACCAAAAACCATTATTCTTATTTTCACAATACGGCGAAACTTAGGGTAATACATATTAGTACAGAACTATTGTTGGTTGAAAACTGGAAATTTGCGTCCTTATTTTATCGGTATCTTAGAAGTACTTTACTATTCTCGTTCTACGAAGATAGTATAACATTCGAACAGGTTTTTACTTACTGGGTTTAATATTTAAAATATGGCTAATTTTAAAGGATTTAAAGGGTCTAAACTCTACAAGTTTTAGGGTTATTTTTAAAAATTATTTAGAAAAAAAAAATAAATTGCATAGTTAATTTATTGTACAATTTCTGTATACTACAGAAGAGATTGTTTATTAAAGTGATGTTTTTTTGAGAACTGAAATTCAGTAATTTGTAGGAAGCTTGACAATACTTTATTATTCTCATTCTGTGTTAACAGTACGTACTAGTACTGCTACTATTAATTATAACTTAAATGTATATTTGGATTTATATTTTAATTATATGTTAAATATTTATTAGTGTACGATAACTTTTGTAAATCAAAAAAAATTACAGCTGAAAAATATTTTATCCTTCTATTAAACAAAATCATTATTAAGATTACACAAAAATAATGTGAATATTAATGATGTATAGGTATGGGCCGAAGACACATATTTTTGCGTCTCGGTATGGATAGAAAATTTGTTTTTAATATTGTTATTCT